AACAAAGATCATTTTAGTGTTCAAACAATATTCAAAATAGGTTGGAAAAAATATGTCTGTATTTTGTATTTAGAAAAAATAACAATTTGTACAAAAGACCTCCATACAGTCAAATGTTAGATTCTGTTCATTTGACCTTCATAACCAGTGACCTTGACAGTCACTAAGAGCAAAGTCACCACTTCTAATCACCCTTCCATAACTGATCTAAATCAGAGGACAGAGACAGAGAGAGAGAGAGTTAGTTTTGATGGAATTTGACCCCAGGGCTTCACGTACTCTAGGTGAGTACCATGGAGCTATATCCCCAGCTCTCTCTTCTTTTTGATCGTTATGTTCTTTTACAAACAACTAAATTGGATTATCTTACACACATATCTTTATACAAAAGACATTGGTCTTATTTTCTTGCAATAAATACTTAGAAGGGGAGACTTTGAAATTGAGACTATGCTTTAAAATGTTTTAAAAGCATTTTCTAAGCATTTCCCTGTGATAATTACATTCTTTGATGGGGGAAAAGGAAAAGTTTCAATTTCTCCTTGCAAATTTAAGTATTCTTCTATTTTATTAATAGCATCCTATACATAAACATAGTTAACTTATTACCTAAAGATCAGTATAAATTACTGTTGATAAAAGTGGGTGAAACCACTTATCACTATGTAATCTTCCATTTTAATGCTGTATTCCATAAAGCAATAAGGCACTCCATAATAAAACTTTGCACTTTACTCAGAAGCCTTATCTAAACACATGCATTATGTGTTCCTTTTTCGGTTTCAGTCAGGGAGAACCCAGGCAGTCTGAGCAACTGAGCCAGCAGCCAATGGCTCTGAGCCCTGCTATCACCGTGATGAAGGCTTATTTAGCGAGCTTTGGGAAGTAAGCAGCACTAGGGTTTCTAGGTGGCGAAGACACCACTGCTGCCATCCCGCTGTTCTCTGGGTTTTGTCTTTATAAGCAAAAGCACTGTGAGGACTTTTCTCTGGGGAGCTGCTGGAGTCAGAATGAGGTGAGTGGCCGAGTGTCTCCTACTTGCTAAACTGAATTCAAGCACACAATGCAATTTCAAAGGGATGAACTGTACTTTTAATTGAATCCTATACTTAGGCTTTAGATTCCTCAATGCACAGGTAACAGTACCGGGCAGAGGACAAGCTTCTGAAATGAGGAGAGAAATTTAGTCAGCAACCTCTCTTTCCGGGGTAGCCAATGTTTCTTCAATTTATTGCTTTTATTATTGATTTTGTTTTTATTAACCAGGGAATAGGTTCCAACCTAAATTGTACTGGCATTATACTACAGATTCAGAAAATGACCAATGCCATTAACATCAAAAGTAGAATTATTTCTTGAGAAAATACAAACGAACATAAACTACAATTGAAGCCATGAATTCAAATCAGAGTTAAATTCAGTCTGAAATCTACCAGAAGTTAAAGTCATTTAGAACATGAATAAACCAGGCTTTTCTTCTGTGAAAACAAGGTACTCAGAGGTAATATGGAGACTTTGATCAGGAAAAGCAGAAAAGCCTGGGGATGCTCACCTGAATCCCAGCTCTCATAAGTCTGAGCGTGAGGACTGCAGGTTTGGGTCCGCCTGGGCCACACAGATGACCCGTCCCCAAACAACCACCACCCAAAAAAACCCACAAAAAAAAAACAAAAAGGGGGTTAAGGGTGAAGCTCTGTGGTCTATGGTAAAGTATCTGCCTAGCATGCGCCAAGCTCCAGGTTCGATCCTCAGAACCACACACGCTAACTCAAAAGCAGAAGGAATTCTCTGAGCAGCTTAGTGGAGTCATCAGGTGTAACAGCAACTCCATGTGGACTGTGTACCAACTTCCAGTGGAGATGCTGTTACTTTTGATGGTCCCCAACTTGCTACAAATGTGTAAGAGGAAAAACTGAAAATCAAGACCACTTGATTCTCATTTGATTTAAGAGGGAAAATGATAACCTTCATTCTGTTTTCAAAAACTGACAAAAAATAAGAATGAACACAAATTTTCTTAAATCCAAGTGGTATGTCACAGACGGACCCAAGAACAGAAGAGGATAAGTTTTTGCTCTGAAATGGTGTACAGGAAAATGACCTATGAATTGACAGACAGTGTGGCCAAGAATGTCTGTCATTTCCGTAGGCCAATATTCTGTATGTCTCCGCTACCTTGAAACCAGCGATCAACTGATGCCACACAAGCAAAACTTGTGATAAACACAGCCAGATAAATGTGCTGATAAAATAAAATGGAAACAATACGTGTACAGACTTGTCTGTGTGTTTCTGCAAAAACTCACATTTACTCCATCTAACTTACTGACCGTCAGCTCAGTCTGTGTACACTGCTTTAAAATAATGGTCGGCTGATGCCACTTTCTCAAGTCTCAAGGGGATGCAGCTCGGTGATAGAGTGTGCTCAGCACCTGAGAGGACAGGGCTGGGTCTGCTCAATTCCCAGCACCACAAACAAACAAAAACCAGTTTGTTCTACTTACCGGTTTTAATAATATATTTATCCCACCTCAACCACTTCAAGGCAATGCCCTAAAAAGTTCTATAAATACTGAAGAGTGAGAAACAGTGGCAGTGGCTTAGCTTACTTAAAAGAAAACTCTCCGGTATGAAATTTTAAACACCACTCGTGTAAATTTATCTCAACTATCATCATTTTCATCCCACCAGAGGTAGGAAGACAGTAGTGGATTACAACGGACCATGCTCTAAGTTGTAAGAACCACACAGCAACAATATTCAGAGCAATCTTTAAGCTTTAAACTCTAAGAATGTTAAACAGCCTTAAGCCATCTTTCTGGTTTCTGGCCTCTAGAGGCTTACTTAAAGCCTACTCTGAGTCCTCCTGCCCACTTATGAGTTCAAAATCCTCAGCACAGTATTCAAGACTCCCAACTACCTGCTCAGCCAGCTCTTCTTGTGTCTGCCTTTCTATCCGCTAACCCCAGTGTGGTTCCTATGCACACGCTGTGCATCCTGTGTCCATGTAAACTGCCCGTCTGGTCCTGCTGACACTTCCACTTGCCAAGCACTTCTGCTCACACTCAGCAGCAACGCTGTGTCCTCTAATGAAAAGAGGTCAATCAGCTGCTTCACATCTACATCTGGCTAAGGCAGAGCCTCTGGTTTTCTTTGAGCCAAGTTGCTACAGGGTATGAAATCAGACTAAAAAGGAACCTTCACACAAGAATTGTGGTGATGTCATCTGACTACTGAGAAGTGGGGGGCGGGGGGAGCCACTACCATAAAAAAGTAAAAGCAGACACTGTAGGGGCTCAGAGTACAGCTTAGGAGTGGAGCATGTGCAAGGCCCATGTACAGTTCCTAGACACGAACCTACTAAAAACAATAAACAAACAAAAATTATTATGTATGTGACCTTAAATGACTAACTTGACTTTAATCAACATTTTTTTTCGTCTTTTATTTGAGACAGGGTCTCCCTGTAGCCCAGCTGGCCTGGAACTTGCTATGTAGACTGGGCTGGCCTCAAACTCACAGAGATCCGCTGACCTCTGACTCCCAAGTGCTGGGATCAAACACATGCACCATCACACCCGGCCTAATCAACATCTTTTAAAATGCATTCATTCAGATGCTACTAAAGAAGTACTGATCGTGCTGACAACTGCGGAAGTCAGCCCTTCACAAAACACAGGGATTCCAAAGAAGGGCGCCTGCCCACAGTCTCTCCAACACTCCATCGCTTGTTGGGCTCTGCGCCCTCAAATTCTTCACTGAATCCTCAACTAAAGTAAATACTTACCAAATGTGCTTGAACGCATGCTGATGCTGCATCCATTAACCAAATTAAAATTAATGAAAACCTATTATAAATGCCTAACAGAAATGGTTAACAATCCCCTTTCCACACCTGTTAAAAACAGTGTCGGGGCCTGGCAGGTAGCACAGTGACAGACACCTGCCTAGCATAAGCACAGAGCAAGGTCCTAGGTTCAAATCCAAACTATGGACACACACAGACAGAGACAGAGACAGAGGAGAGAGGACAAAGAACAGAACCAATAGCAACAATCTAGTGTTACCAAAAACTAGAATATTATTAGAAGCTAGATTGTCATTAAAAGTCAGAACCAGAGCTGGAGAGATGGCTCAGCAGTTAAGCGCACTGGCTGTTCTTGCAGAGGACCCGGGTTTGATTCCCAGCACCCATATGGAGACTAACAACCATCTGTAACTCCAGTTCCAGGGGATCTAACACCCGCTTCAGATCTCTGCAGGCATTGCACAACACCGGTGCACCTATGTACATGCAGGCAATACACCCATACATATAAAATAAATTAAAAAAAAAAAAAATGCAATGCAGGTGCAATGCCTGCAGAGAACAGAAGAGGGCGTCGATTCCCCTGGAACTGGAGTTAAGGATAGTTCTTAGCCGCTGTGTGGGTGCTGGGTATTGAACCAGGGTCCTCTTCAAGAGTAGTCAGTGCTCTGAACTGCTGAGCCATCTTCCCCCAAAAATTTGTTTTAAAAAGCCAGAACCACATCAGTTTTGTTGATTGTCTCATTCTCTCTCCTCTCCCTTCTTCCCCTCCTCCTTTTATAGTGTTTCTACCATGGGCCTGAAACTCATCATCTCCCTGTTGAATGCCCAGCCTGGTAACAAAAACACCAGGCAGGAGAGATGGCACAAACCTGTAATCCAGCATTAGGGAAGCTGAGGCAGGACTGCCTTGAGAGCAGGCCCACCTGGCCTACAGAAATTACCAGGCAGCCAGGGCTACAAGGCCAGCCAGATGAGCCTGGTGGCACGTGGCTGTAATCCCAGACACTTAGAAGGCTGAGGAAGGACAACTGCTTGAGCCCAGGAATCTGAAGCCAGCCTGGACCTCACAGTGAAAGCCCATTTCAAAGTAAGTAAATAAATAATATAAGCAATTCTTAACCGTATACACTATTTTTCCATTTTTGAAGAAAGCAAAACTTTAAACAATAAAATTTTTTTTAAATTTTACCTGTTGATCAAATATTCATCTTCTGTCTTATGATGAAACACAGGAATCGGAACCCCCCAAGCTCTTTGCCTCGATATACACCAATATGGCCGCCTGTCCAGCATGTCGATCATGCTGTTCAATGCTGCTCCAGGAATAAACTTCACTGTTTTTAACAACTCCTGTAATGCATTCATAAAGCAGGTCGGGTGAGTGAAAGCAAAGACCTGTCACTATTCTTCTAACACAGCTCTTCACTTTGAACATCTGCAGTCATGCTTGCCTTCCTGCTCCCCACCACTGACAAACAACACAAAGGGAAAGATTCTGGAGTAAGGCAAACAAAGCAGAAGCAAAGGATTTCATTACTATCAAGAGCTGACAGACGGCACACGGCTATAATCCTAGGACCCGGCAAGCTGAGGCAGGAGGCTGCCACAACTTTTAGTTCAGCCTGGTCTACATAGTGAGTTCAGGCCAGCAAGGGCTACATAGTAAGACCTTCACACACACACACACACACACACACACACACACACACACGCACACGCACACGCACGCACAAAACCCATGCAAACAAACAAAAAACCAGACTTAGTGTTTTAACCTATGGAAATGAAAAAAACAAACTGCGTATCACAGATGTCCACATTATGTAAGTATAGAAAATACAGGAGCTGGAGAGATGGCTCAGAGGTTAAAAGCTCTGGCTACGCTTCCAGGGATCCTGAGTTCAGTTCCCAGCACCCACATGGTAGGTAACAACTATCTGAAACTCCAGTTCCAGGGGATCCAATGACCTCTTTTGGCCTCCATAGACATTGCATGCACATAGTGCACTTACATACATGCAGATAAAACATGCATACAGATAAAATAAAAATAAATAAAAAATTATAAAGACGCTGTAAATAGGGGCTGGAGAGACGGCTCAGCAGTTAAGAGCACTGAGTGCTCTTGCAGAGGATGCGGGTTCGATTCCCAGCACTCACATGGTTACTATAAACTGTCCTTAACTCCAGTTCCAGGGGACTCCAAAGCCCTCGTCTGACCTGCACAGCACTGCACAACACGGGTACACTCACATACATGCAGGCAATACACTCATACGCATAAAATAAAAAATAAAAAAATTTTAAAAAAACATTAAAAGACACTGTCAATCTCTCCACATAGTTTTGATAAGGACCCAAATTACCATGCCAACAAATGACGCAGCTATCCCAGAACCTGAGCCACTCGCTGCCCGTGAAGTACTGTGTGCTCAGCCTGGCTGACAGATACTTGAACTCTTTCATTCAGTAGAATCTGGCTATTTTTGGATTATGTATACATGCATATAAAAATACATACATGTGAATTACATGAAGGAGCTTCTATATATGTCAAATATTTAGAATAGTGGTTATAAAATCCCGATTTTAAATGGACTGCAACTCCAACCTTTTCTTTTCTCCTTACCTTTTTTCCCTCTTAGTCTCAAAGAAACAAAGGACATAAAAACCTCACTCAAGTTTTATTAAATGCCTGTTATGTGCCAGGAACTGGTGTGGAAACTCCGACCTCCTCCTTGGGGTAGGCATTACCACCCTGACCTAGATGAAACGTTACAGGACTGAGGTTCTAGGAGATTAGACTTACTAAACCCAGTCCTGCCCTAAGTCTACTCAATTTTCACTAAACTGGTCACAAAGGTGACTGGACGAATCACTTAACATCATTAAGCTTCATTTCCCACGTGTGTAAAATGAAATAATAAAATACGAGAACTTTACAGATCTAAAAATATGTAATTTTAGGAAAATAAATCCTAACAGCAACAGTCTCTCCTCATGAAACCCCACACCAGCCCTTTCACCCTGTGGGAACCGACCCAAGCCCATACACAGGTGCCTTGCATACCTTCGCTGTGGTCTTAATATCTGCGATGTTGACGAACCACTGCTTGCAGGCACGGATCACCACTGGCTTCTTAGTCCTCCAGTCATAAGGATAGCTGTGCGTCACTTTTTCTTCTTTCAACAAATTCTCTGCAGTCTGAAGCATCTTTATAACTTAAAGTTTTTTTCTCATTAGACACTAACTTAAGAGAGTTATGAAAGTATTATGAAAAACCTAACAGCACTCTAGACTACCAGGGAGTACTAGGTCTGGGCCAAAGGTACAAATAAAAGTAGCCATGCTCCATGGGAGTCTCCTGGCAGAGAAAATCGAAGACTGTAAAACCTTCAAACTCCAATTACACCATCCCACAGCTCTCATTTCAAAGGCTGATCTCTACTATAGATCTTAATAGTCTGCAGAAAAACCAGAAGAAATCAGGTGTGGTTGAACTGTGCCCCCTAAAAGACACTGAAGCCGTAACGGTGGATGTGACCTTCCTTAGGAGTCAGATCTCTGCAGATGTAATTACATGAAGGTGAGATCACAGTAGATTAGAATGGGCCCTAACTCCCACACCTGCTGTCCTTGTAAGAAGACAGGATACAGGAAAACAGGCGGGAGATAAACAAGTCCACATAACCACAGAAGCAGAGAATGGAGTGATACAGCTATTGATCAAGGAAGACCAAGATTTCCTGGCACCACCAGGGCCCAGGATAAGGCTGGGAGGGATTCTCCCATGGAACCTTCACAGGGAGCACAGTCCAGCCAATACCTAGGCTACAGATACCTAGTTTCCAAAACTTGAGAAAATAAATTTCTATTGTTTTAGAACGTCAAATTAATGACAATTTGTTATAGAAACCCTAGAAAACTAATCACTCAGGTCCTGATTTCTGAATCCATGAAGAAAGAAAGATGATTCAAGATTGTAGGCCCTGCACAGTACACCATGCTGTGTGGGTTAGCTACTGGAGACAGAAAAAAGTGGGGCATGAATGATTCACAGCCAAAATTTACCCCAAGCCTGAGTTTTATGCTTGCACAAAAGTAATACTGCTGATTGTATTTTTAACCCCCCCAAAAAAATAATCACTGACCTACTTGATTTGTACACATATATGTAGAACAGATTTGAAACCCAAGACAGCAAAATCTAAACTTCATTTTAAATCATGTGGCTAAACGAAATGACTAGCTTTTATTTTTCTGAAAATATGAAGATTAACAGCTATCTAGAGTTCCTTCTGGTTCCTTCCAAAAAAAAGTAATTATGTTATCAACAGACACAACACTTACCCACGTCAGTTCCTTCTTCAAGTACTGCCTTGCTTTGAAGTTCAGGACCGGCAGCACTGGTGAAAAATCCACCTTCATCCACTAAGCAATCCTACAAAGTACCATTGTGAACAGTTAAAGCACCAAGACATTTTATCTCATGACAATGTATGTAAAAATGGCACAATAAAACCATCTCAATACAGTCTACTTTTCCTCTACTGCATTCCTAAAGTTTCATGAAGAAAAGTAACAAAGTATACTAAGCACCTTAACTGGCCTCTATTCTTGCTAATAAAGCAAGCTTAGGAGCTTAGAAAGGGCAAAACTTAACTGTCCCCTTCAACTATTTAATAAAATCTACTTGTCAGTTTTCAGGGACTGAAACAACATGTCTGACTCAGTGCTCAAACCGGAGTGCAGGCACCTGGCAATGCTCCAGCATGGCATACACTGGGAGAGAGGCAGACCCCGAAGTGGGTGCTGCCTGGGTTAGGCTTTCCTGCAGGCCAGCAAGTGTACAACAGCACTGCATTTAAAAATATGCACCTACCACGACTGCAAAAATGCTTTGTATATAAAGCGTTCACAATCACCTGGGCTGCTGGAAAAATGGTGTTTAGTTTGTTCAACAAGGACTTATACAAGCCTTAATTTGTAAAAACTTCGTGTCTGCAAAGCATAGTAAAGTGAAACGGACTAGAGCAGGGTCTGTCTGTATTTAAAAAGTGCCCCATGCCACGTGTGGTAGCACACACCTTTAGTCCCAGCACTTGGGATGCCATCTCTGTGAGTTATAGACCAGCCAGGGCTATAGTGAGGCTCTGACTTGAAAAAAAAAGGAATGTGGGGGCCAGACCCCAGGACCCCACGGGTCGGACTCAGGGATATCCACCCCCCTGCCAAAAAGGAATGTCTCAGGTAGCATGCATTCTGCAGATCTAATTTTGTGCTAATTCCATGAACTTTCTCAATTACTATGAATTAATGAAGCTTTAGGGTATTGCACAAATCGCAGCATTTCACAATTTATGATGATAAAAACTATCATTACCAAGAAATAAAGTTAGTTAGAATTATTCATTTCCATCCCACAAGGTGAATAATTAAAAAGAAGAAAAAGGAACAGTACCATAGGTAGGCTGTGTTGAGATGCTACACTGTAATCTTCCATACCATGAGCGGGAGCTGTATGAACCAATCCTGTTCCTTTGGCCATGGTCACATGAGTTGCAGGTAAGAGAGGAGAGGCTTTATCAGGAACCAGAGGGTGACCACAACTACCACCTTCCAAATCAACCCCTGAGGGGAAAGGAGCCATTACTAAGATGTTCTCTGTGAAGGGCTGAGGGGTGGAACACTTGTGCATGCATGATGTTCTAGAATCAATCTTCAGTACTGACAAAAAAAGACTTGTTTTATATGACAGCTCTACCTTTTAAGCTTAGCAACAGAACATCAAATTAAGTTAGCCCCTCTCTTTTTTAAACAGGATCTCATGTAGCTCAGGCTGATATCAAATTCAGTATGTAGCTGGGAGCAACCTTGAATTTCCAATCCTCCTGCCTCTATCTCCCAGTTGCTAAAATAACAGGTGTGTACTTACATGCTCAGCTAGCATCTTTATTTTGTTGGGTGAGGAATTAAACCCAAGGCCTGGCACATGCTAGGCAAGTGCTATACACTGAGCTACCTGGAGTGCTCTCCCCAGCCCCACAAGGTTGAAAATGCAGAATATGCTGGGCACAGTAGCACACATTTTTAATCCCAGCATTTGTGAGGCAAGTGCTTGACCTCTCTGAGATCAAGGCCAGTCTGGTCTACACAGTTAATTCCAGGTCAGCTGGGGCTAAAGGGAGACCCTGTCTCAAAAAGACACAAAAAAGTAGATACAGATGGACAGACGGACATATAGACAGATAGAGCTCTTGCTCAAAGCACTGTTGTTAAGATAGCCTTAAGACTATTCTGAGCAGTTAGCATAACAGTGTGCACAAAATAAAAACTTAAAAATAGTATCAATTTTACCTATTGTTGTTTATTATTACAAATACAGAAATTAGGGGCTAGAGAGATGCTCAGTAGTTAAAAGCACTAGCTGCTCTTGCAGAGGACCCATGTTCAGTTCCCAGCACCCATATGGCAGTTAACAACCGTCCTTAACTCCAGTCCCAATGAGTGCAATGCTCTCTTCTGGCCTCCATAGGTGCCATATGCACATGCACTTACATACATGCAGTCAAAACACTCATACACATAAAAAAGTTTCTTAAAGACATGAAAAATAAATAAAAACCAAATATATAATCAAAATGAGTCCAAGGAAATTTAAAAAGACACTGTCTCAAAATAAAAAAAGATCTGGGGGAATAGCTCAGTGATAAAGCACTTACTTAGCATGCACAAGGTGTGGGCTCAATCCCACAACAAAGAAGAATACACTGGGTCCTTTAACATACCTACTGCATCATCAAAGATCAATGGTCTGAAACATTCAACAGCATCCTTCCTGTCTCTGACATAACCCCACACACACTTGTTTAAATTTCTATTTTATGTGTGTCTTTTGTCTGCATGTATGTAAGTGCACCCATGACATGCAATGCCCACAGAGGTCAGAAGAGGGCATTGGATTCCCTGAAGCTGGAGTTAAGTACATTTTCAGCCACCATGTGGGTGCTGGAAACCAAACCCGGGTCCTCTGTAAGAGCAGCCAGTGCTCTTAACCACTGACCCATTTCTCCAACCCCATAACCCCTTTTTATTTTAATGAGGTTGTTTGTTCATCCCTCTAATTGGCTTGTATCTAAACTGATGAACCTTAGAGGGCTTTCTTACTTATCTAGGTGATCATTCTATTTTTTTAAAAATATTTTATTATTTTTATTTCACGTGTATGAGTGTTATGCCTGCATGTCGGTAACTGCACCCATGTCATGCAATGCCTGCAGAGGACAGAGAGGCTGTCAGACTGGAGTTACGGACAGCTGTTAGCTTCCATGTGGGTGCTGGGATTCGAACCCAGGTCTTCTGCAAAAACAGTCAGTGTTCTTAACTGCTGCTCCAGCCCTGCATTCTATTTTTAAAAATTATCTTTACCATAAGATTGTGTTTTGCGGGATGTGGTGGCGCACGCCCAACACTTGGGAGGCAGAGGCAGGTGGATCTCTGTGAGGTGGAGGCCAGCCTGGTCTACATAGTGAGTTCCAGGCCAGCTGGGATTACAGGGAGACCCCATCTCAAAAAGACAAATAATAGTAAGAATTTTATTGTTGCTTTTGCATTACAGTTTTAAAAAGTAACTGCTGGATTCCACCAGAAGCATTCCTGTTTCTGCTTTGTTCATGTTCCTGCTTCCTTCACCTCTTACCATGTTTAGTGCCTATTTTCCTTCAGAGAAGTATACACAATAAGGTTTAATGTATAATCAATACAAAATATGCTCTACAAAGACAGAAGTTAAATCTGCTTCAATTCATGATGAGGACTATTCAACAAACCACTGTCAACCCTGTATTTGATGGCTGATGGTTAGAATATCCAAAAATCCTCACCTGAAAATGTTGAAGTAACCTCAAATGTAGTTTCCAAGGTAGAAGCAACAGAAGCTACTTTATCTGCAGCTAGTATGTAGCGGTCTCCAGAAGTGCAGCATTTCACAACAGCATACCTGAAAATGGACGGTGAGACCACCAATGGGAATGAAAGAGAAGCCACAGGTGACCAACATTCTGGTCTCTAACATTCTAGAAAAACTAACTTTAGGGTCAGGCAGTGTAATTTTCAAAGCATTCCACACTCTACACATTTGTTTCACTTTCCAAAAACAGCTGGAAATAAGGTTTTAAAAGGGACCATCTGGGGCTGCAGAGATGGCTCAGAGGTTAAGAGCACTGGCTGCTCTTGCAGAGGACCCAGGTTTGGTTCCCAGCACCCACGTGGCAGCTAACAACCATCCATCACTCCAGTTCCAGGGAATCCAACACCCTCTCCTGACCTCTAAGGGCACTGCATGAATGGGTGCATTTACACACATACAGGCAATACATTCATACATATAAAATAATAAAAATAATAAAAATACTTTTAAAAAGAAATCATCTATTCTAAACCTTAATAAAGTCCACATAAACCTAACAACTAACTTACAATTCACTGCATTTTAAAAGGGCCATAAGAATGAAGTAAATTTAATGTGAATTTCACTTGTGGATAAAACAGACGATGTAATAAAACACCTACTCTGCCTCCGGCATATAGCAAACAGCCTGATTAGCTGGAACTGTCCAAGGCTGGGTGGTCCAGACTAAAATGCTGACAGGAGACGAACCATCTGTGGGAATAAAGTCATAAATATGTGAGTGAGCGTCCTAACTCCACAGCTTTAGGAAGCTCAGGCGATAGCTAGGCCTCACCTGTCAGAGACGCCAGCTTGGGAGGAGGTTTCAACAGAGGGAATTTTATGTAGACTGACTGACTGACATGCTGAGGATTGTACTCAAGCTCCGCTTCAGCCAACGCAGTTCTAAGGGTTAAAAACAGGGAACACAAGTAAGCGGAAGCTTCACAAACCTTTCAACCTCCCAATTACCACAGAATTCATACCTTGATGAGGGGGACCAGAACACTGGTTTGTAAGATCGATAGACCAAGCCCTGTAAAAGACCAACATGATCCTGAAGCCGAATTTTGTGACATACATGTAATACACTGGGCAGAAAAAGAAAACACTTTATTACCTGATCGTACATTTGGTAAAAAATTCTCAGCTGTTTGGCCTCATACTTCCCATCGAATGTGTAGTAGCAATTATTCCAATCTGCCATTACTCCCCAACGAGCAAATGCTGCTTTCTGTTTTTCAATGGCTGCTTTTGCAAATGATCTAGCTAAAAATACCACAAAAAGAAAAAGGAAAAGCTTTGGAAAAAATAAATACAAATTTGTTCTTTTCTTTTCTTCTTATTTTTAGAGAGAGGGGCTTTCTCTATAACCCAGTCTGATCTAAACTCACCGCAATCCTCCTGCCTCAGACTCCCAGGAGCTAGCATAAGTCCCCATGCCAAACTTTGGTATTCATTTAATTTTAAATTTCTTTTAAATCTTTATTTATTCATTTTATGTTTATGAAGCCTGCATGTATTTAAGTGCACCTGTGTTGCACAATGCCCACAGAGGCCAGAAGAGGGCATCAGATCCTAAAACAGGAGTTACAGACAGACGCCATACTGGGAACTGAACCTAGATCCTCTGCATGAGCGGTCAGTGCTCTTAACTGCTGAACCATCTCTCCAGCACCCTTCCCCTCCCCCTTTTTTTAAGACAGGGTTTTACTATGTAGCCCTGGCTGTACTGAAACTTGCTATGTAGGCCAGGCTGCTCTTGAACTCACAGAGATCCCCCCTGCCTCTGTCTCCCAAGTGCTAGGATTAAAGGTATGTGCCACCACACCCAGCTCTTTTTTACTGTACTTTATTTCAGTTTTTTTTTTTTTATTTTATGTGTATGTGTGTATGTAGGTAAGTGCACCCATGACGTGCAATGCCCTCGGAAGACAGAAGAGGCTGTCGGATCCACTGGAACTGGAGTTATGGACAGTTGTTAACTGCCATGTGGGTGCTGGGATTCGAACCTGGGTCTTCTGCAAGAACAACCAGTGTTCTTAACTGCTGAGTCATCTCTCCAGCCCTATTTCATGTGTTTTGCCAGCATGTATCTAAGTGCACCCATGTTGTACAGTGGCTGCAGAGGCCAGAGAGGGTGTCAGATACCCTGGAACTGGAGTAAAGCCAGTTGTTAGCTGCCATATGGGTGCTGGGAACAGAACTCAGGTCCTCTGCAAAAGTAGCCAGTGCTCTTAACTACTGAGCCATCTCTCTAGCCTCATATTTTCTTAGTCTTAAACATGATTTGGTATGTGGCTCTCTTAATAAAGGTATTGTACAGTTTCCACTAGAAAAAGTCTTTTTCAGCCTCGGCTGGCCTTGAACTCACTATTTAGCTGAAGACAACTGAACTTGTGATCATCTTTTAGTGCTAGGACTAAAGATATGTGCTATCAAGTCCAGTACGCACGGCCCTGGGCACTACACCCAGGGGTTCATTTATGCTCTGAGCTATATCCTCAGTCTTAGAGAAATTCTTAACAGGAAGATTATTTGAAAGTGTTTAGAACACAGAACAAAGTTTGTAATTAACTGGATTTTCAAAAGTTAAAATTGGATTACTCTCTCTTCATCATCTTCTAGACTATACATGGCCTCATATTTAGAAAACAATAAGCTGGGAAAATAGTCGTTAAATATTCATAATTCCCTTATTGTTATTAGTGTATGTGCATGCACGCGCGCACGTGTGTGTGTGTGTGTGATATGCATGTGCCATGGTATGTGTGTGGAGGTCAGGTGGCAGCTTTCAACTTTCAGAAGTCAGCTCTCCTTCTACCACGGGACTAGAGCATCAATTCAAGTTGTGAGGCTTTCGTGCAACCATTTTCAGTGCTGAGCCATCTCATCAGCCCTCTTGAGACTGGTAGCCCTGTAGCCCCAGCTGTCCTGGAACTCACTATGGAAACCAGGCTGGCCTCGAACTTACAGTCCACCTGCCTCTCTCTGCCTCATTAAAATTAATTATTTGTTGGATTTTTTAAAATTATATGTATGTGTGTGTGTCTGTGCACATGGGTGCAAATGCCAGCAGAGGCCAAAGGCTTTGGATTGTTTTGGAGCTGGAGTTATAGGTGGCTTTGAGCCATCCGATGTGGGTGCTAGGAACCAAATTTGGGTCCTCTTCAAGAGCAGCAAGCACCCTTAACCAGTGAGCCATCTCTCCAGCCCTCTCTTCATTATTTCTTAATTTAAGAAACAGTCACACCAGGTGTGGTGGAGCACACCTTTAATCCCAGCGCTCCAGGCAGAAGCAGGCTGATCTCTGTGAGTTCAAGGCTAATCTGGTCTACACAGTGAGCTCCAAGCCCACTGGGGCTACAGGGAGACCCTGTCTCAAAAACATTAAAAATAATTTTAAAATAAATTGAAGAAACAGTCATAGAACAATTTTCATTTCAACATGACCTCCCCCGAAACCACTGAGAATATCCAATCTAAGTCAGTGTTAATATGCTTCAGAAGAAGTACAAAAAGTCTTCACAATCATGTCTAAACATGTAACAGTGTAACACACAAGAAAAGGAGATACTCTCAGACCAAATCCCCTGAAAGGATCAAATAGGTGATTAATTTAAAGTATGTGGGGTTTTTTGTTTGGTTGGTTTTTGTTTTTAAGACTAAGGTCTTAAAATATAGCCCAGGCTGACTTCAAACTCACGATCCTCCTACCTTAGACCGTGAGTGCTGGAATTACAGGAATGCACTACCATGCCCTGATGTAAAATATATGTATTTCACAATTTACTTTTGGTTTTATATCAGATGAGTCAACAAACTCTATCCAGTAAAGTGTAAAACTCTCTCTCAAAATGGTTATATAGCAAAACAAAAACACTAAGCTGAAAAACACAACTGGACACACCCAAAGCTGTCCCTTCAGTCTCTAAACAGAAGTTCTCACAGAGCGAGTTAGAGAAAACCTGGATTCGCATGGTGGCTCATGCCAATGATGCCGGCACTCGGGAGGCTGAGGCAGGAGGAATGAGAGTGTGCGTGCAAGGCCAGAGATACACGCAAGGCCCGGGCCTGGAAAGCAACACAAACTCTGAATTTTCTCCGAGGTCAGGAGCTCCCTGTAGGTCACTGCCACCAAAACAAAGCAAAGATCCCTTTGGCAAAGGCTGAGCGTTCATAGCACCACTTGGAACAGAAATGGGAAGGATCTACCTTTCTCTCTAATTTCCATAGCCGAAAGATTCTGAGCTCTCCCACCAAGTTCTGATAGCACTTTTGTTTCAATGGGCAGACCATGACAGTCCCAGCCAGGAACAAAATGCACTTTGGAGCCTCTCATCACATGGTATCGATTGGCGATGTCTTTCAGAATCTGGGAGGGTGAAAGCAGAGTGGTTGTCCAAACAGAAAGCCCATAGCCCTTAACCCTTAAATACAATACCATTCTAAAACATAAAGACCCAGTCAAGAACCCATTACATCTACTAACGCGTGCAACTTGTACCCAAAAGAACCATACGTTTAAAGTTCTTTTTTTCTTTTTGAGACAGGGTCTCTCTGTAACCCCAGCTGGCCTGGAACTCACTATGTAGACCAGGCTGGCCTTGAACTCACAGAGATCCACCTGCCTCCAATGCTGGGATCAAAGGCGTGCACCACCATGCCCAGCTGAATTTCTACCATGCATTAAGTCTATGAAGGGAAGGAAAAAAAAAATCAAACAAGGATATTACACATGAAAACCTGACACCCAACCTGGAAAGCTGGAATGGGGGGGACGGGTGGGAAACAGCCCAGCACAACTTTCATTTTTTGAGAATTTCATACATGAGTATGTTCTGTGCATTATTATTATTATTATTTTTTTGTTGTTGTTCTTTTTGAGACAGGGTCTCCCTGTAGCCCCAGCTGACCTGGAACTCACTATGTAGACCAGGCTGGCCTTGAACTCACAGAGATACACCTGCATCTGCCTCCCGAGTCCTGAGATTAAAGGTGTGCACCACTGTGCCTGGCAAATGCTACCTTCTCAAGAAATACTTCCGACCTTCTAAAACCCAGAATAAATAAGTCAATTAGAAATTTTCATTATTCTTGTGAAAAAATTAACACAGAAAATGCAGTACTACATAGCTTATATTTACTAAGAAATACAGAATTCTTAAAGAATTGATGTCCTGAGCAAATGCGATCCTGTGGTTAACTCCCTCGGGCATTAACAGACACACACACACACACACACACACACACACCCGAAGAATTCGCATGCAGCTACAGCTGTGTTGGATTTTCCCTTCTTCGTTCATTTTAGACATGGGTAAGTAGAAAGCCTTTAAAAGTGTACTGCTGCTCTGCTTCCTGTGTCTGCTTGAAGACATAGTCACCTGGCTTTCAGTTCTGGCCACCTCTGCCACCACGCCTCCCCTACCATTATTGACTCTAACCCTCTGAAACTAGAAGTTCAGATAAACTCTTCCTTCTATAATAAGTTGACTGTGAAGAACACGACCATGTGGGTTTCTGGAGGTATGTGGAAGACTCTGGAAGTTCAGACTAGAAAAGCTTTGAATGCTGTAAGCAGAGCCATTCATTCTATTTGGAGCCTGGAAGAAAGCAGTGCTGAGAGCAAAGTAGTTCCAGAAGGAAATAGGACTTAAACAGCAACTTGGGATATTTTGGCAAAGCATCTGACTGCAGTCTGCTCTAAGCCTGAGTTTGCCTGAGGCTAAACAGAAAAGTAATAAATTAGAACCCCAGCACTTGGGAGGCAGAGACAGGTGGATCTCTGTGAGTTCCAGGCCAGCCTGGTCTCCATAGCAAGTTCCAGGAAAGCTGGGGCTACAGGGAGACCTTGTCTCAAAAAGACAAAAAAGAAGAAAAAAAGAAAAGTAATGAACTAATAATTTCTTCGGTAGAGGAAATTTCAAGACATCCTAACTAGAAATGGTGGTGTGGCTGTTAATGGTGAATATTATGCAGCTCTACAGTGAAAACGAGCAAATGGGGCAGAAAGAAATGCAGAATATACAGTCTGGATTGAAAAAGAGCAGTAGGAAGATTAAAGTTGGAGCCAAGGCATGTGCTGAAGGAGAGGCTCTTTATGATAAGGAGATTAGGGCCATTAAGGAGAAGCCTAGCTATTTGCACTTAACCAATGGAAAAAGTACCCTCAAGGAAAGACCACACCCAGTTAAGCTCCAACTTTGTAAGGAAAAGCCTAAGGAGGGTCCTGCTCCTAGAAAACTTCTATGGACAAAAGCTGCTGCTCATGTGGGTGAAATGGGCAGGAGTCCCTCCCAGGCTGACAGCTGAACTTGGCAGTGTTGTTCAGGTGGTGCTGGCTTCAGAGACATGAAAGACGCAAGAGTGAAGGAGTAATCAGTTCTTCCTCCATTGTTTCAGAGAGCCTCCAAGACTAGCCAGTGTACAACAGTAGACACCAGGTGTCCCAGCATAAAGAAGGCCCTGACAGGTCATTGTGTGAAGCAGTAAAGGTAAAGCCTGGTTGACAGTTGAAACCCCAAGAAAACACTGGAGATGCCAGAGCATGAGACATCTGGCAAGGAGAGCTGCATACAGGGAGTGGTGCCAGCCCAAAAGAGAGATGTATGTTGCACGCAGCAAAGCTGGAGAGGCTGTGCCATCTAAGACCTTTGGAAGTAAAGTCCCAGAAATCAGACATGAAGCTACTGGATTTGGTGATTTCCCTTCTGGTTTTCAATCTTGTTTTGGTCCAGTATTTCCTCACTATGCCCCTACTCCTCCCTTTAGGAATGGGATTATGTATTTGGTTCCATTGTATGTTGGAAGTATGCAATTTGTCTTTTGATTTTACAAGGGCTTACAGTTAAGAGATTGCCTTGAGCCTCAGAATTGACTTTAGACTCCAGTGACTTTTGAATAGTATTGTGATTGTCAAAAACTATGGGACCTGTGAGCCGGGCATGGTGGTGTATGCCTATAGTCCCAGCACTTGGGAGGCAGAGGCAGGCGGATATCTGTGAGTTCAAGGCCAGCTAGGGCTATGGGGAAACCCTGTTTCAAAAAGACCCCCCCCCAAAAAAAAAAACAACTATGGGAGCTGTGGATTGAATGCATGAGTGCATTTTTCATTTTATATGGTCATAAGTCTATGGGGTCAGGGAGTGAAATGTGGTGGTTTGAATGAGAATGTCCCCCACAGGCTCTAAGTATTTGGAGCATTTTGTCCTCAGTTGGTGCTGTTGTTTTGGGAGGTTTTAGAAGGTGTGGCCATGCTGGGGGAAGCATGTCACTTGGGGGGTGGGTTTTAAGAGTTCCTAAGCCTTGCTAGATTTCCTGTCTTTCTCTGCTTCCTGTACCTGCTTGAAGATGTGATCACTTGGCCTTCTGCTCTGGCTACCTTTGCCACCAAGCCTTCCCTGCCATAAGGACTCATACCCCTGGAACTATAAACTCAAATAAACTTTTCTTTTCTTTTTATATATATAAATGTATTGCCAGGGAGCTGGAGAGATGGCTTAGTGGTTAAGGGCACTGGCTGCTCTTGAAGAGGATCTGGGTTCGATTTCTAGCACCCACATGGTGGCTAACAACCTCCATTGATCAACCTCCTACAGGTGGATCAATCTGAGCATGAATCGGTTCAGAAAGATGGATTGATAAACAGGCTGTAATGAGAATACTTCTTCCCTGGGAAACAGGTCAGATGTGATCACGATGTTAACTGCAGCCCCTCCTTCGCCTTCATGGTGGAGAGCTCAGAGAAGGCCTGGTGAGTTCTCTCAGGAGAACCTTCTCAACTCATTTCCTATTTACAACTAAGCTACCATCCACTATGCCTTAGAAACCAAACAAAGCCAGCTCTGGGCGCCACGTGCTGGTGACTACAACAGACAGTCTGGGCATCGCTCCTCTATCCAGGATCTTCATCTGAACGGCTAAGCTCATCTGAACCATTAACACGCCCAAATCTGAACTCTTCTCCTCCAAAAACTCCCCTCCCCCACTGTCTCTGTCAGATCAGGTTACTTTGTCCTCATAAGCACTCAGACCGGAAGTTCTCGGAAGCATCCTGGACTATCCTCGTCTTACCCACACTGCATCTAACCCAAAGCAAATTCCATCAGCTCTACCCTCAAATTACACTCCAAATCTGACCATGTTTTGCTATGGCTTTGCCTCATCAATGTCATGGTCATCACTCATATTCCTTCCCTCCCTCCCTCTCTCCCTATCTTTCTCTCTAACTAGTCTCTTAGCTTCCAAACTCCTGTCACCAACACAGCATCCTAAAATGATCTGATTAATCATATTAAATGATCTACCTAATAAATCAGATCCCAAGTGCATCTACTCGAAAACCCCAACAGCTCTCTATTACAACCAAAGTAAAAACAACGTCCTTTAAAGGGACCTGCTTCGTGTACAGCCTCATCCAATCCTCTCCCCTCCCTCAGTCTGACTGGGTGCTCCGGCTTCCTTACTGTCCCTCAGATGAACTACAAACGGCCCTCTCAAGCACTTTGCACTTGCTATTCTTACGCTTGGGTTTTCGTTTTGCTTGGGGGAATTTTGTTGTTTGTTTCTGAAACATGGTCTTACTCTGGGTAAACAACAAAATCTCTGCTTTGATAGCCTGGAACTCACTACATATTGATGCAGGCTGGCCTCCAACCCTCAGTGACCCTCTTACTTCAGCCTCTGAAGTGCTGATATTACAGGCATACACCACCACACTGGCCACTTGCTCTCTTAAAGACTTTCCCTAATTTCACCTTTTCATTAAGAGAGTTTTCCTAAATCAATTTATTATTGTTTTCAATTTTTACTTATTTTTATTTTATGTGTAGGATTGTATTGCCTGTGTGTAAGTGCATTCATGACCTGCAGTGCCTACAGAAGACAGAAGAGGGCATCGGAACTGGAGTTACAGTGTCTTTAGCCACCATGTGGGTGCTGGGAATCAAATCCAGTCTTCTGCAAGAACAGCCAGTACTCTTAACCACTGAGCCATCTAAGTAAATCAATTTATTAAAAAATACAGTTTATTCATATGATTTATCATCTGCTTTTATTTTCCTCCACAATTATCATCAATGTCTAGCATACTACATAATTTACTTATATATCTTGTTGACCTTATCTTCAAAAGTAGAGTATAAGGCCAGGATATAACTATATGTTGCTCACTGCTACACCTAGAGTCTAGTGTAATGCCTGACACACAAATGGAACTCACTAACCACTTAATGAATAAAATGGAATTTACTAGTGTAAAATAACAATAAGCCGAAAGGGAAACATGAGCCATGTTAACTTTCACGCAATATCAAAAAAACTTTGTTAACTAAAATACTTAGTTGCAGGCTGCAGATATGACTCAGGGGCAGAAGTGTGTCTCCCATGCGTCCCCCCCGGATTCCATCCACAGCCCCACACAAAAAAAAATTAGATCTGGGATGTAGATCAGTGGTAGAGTCCTCACCTAGCATGAACAGTCCCAACACCACAATAAATAACTTAATCCATAAACAAATTAATTTAGTTGCATGTGTCAATAGGAATTTACATAATTATCATACAAGTAGAATACGATTTTTTGTAAGAGTATTTAGTTTCATATGATTACCTTATTTAAAGCATGCCCAACATGAGGGTCGCCATTGGCATAAGGAGGTCCATCATGAAGACAAAATTCTGTCTTTACTTTTCTTTTTCTTTGCCAGGAATAGAGTTCTGCAAACTCACATTTCTGTTTTAAAAGAACAATGTTTACACATCATATAAATAAACACTTGCTTTATCACTTATTCCATTGCAGTCTCTTCAACGTAGAAACACAAATGGTTCCATTTCTGAAATGAACACACACACACTCGTCTCTTAAAACTTCCAGTAGTCCCTCCAGCTTCCAACACTTCAAAGTCTAAACCGTACGTGGCACAGGGGTTCTAAAGTCTGGGAAAATCTCTCAATACCCCTCTCCAACCCTTCAAGCCGGTCCTGAACAAAGGCCTGTAGATTGCCACACCCCACATTGGTATCTTTCTGTCGATATTGGCTTCAACACTTCCGCTCTGGAAAGATACACTGCAATCCCACACTCTTCCCTCACTGGCTGTGTGGCACTGGCCAAGTCACTTGCAGACCCACATCATCTCCAAAACAATCTAACATCCATCTCATGGGGATATTACAGGGTGTGAAACGTAAATGGGGAAACATCTGAAACTGCCATTCTTCCTGATCTACAGAAGGCTGTGCTGGACAGCTTTAGTTGTCAAGTGGACACACCTGGGTAGAAGGAACCTCAATAGGGGATTGCCCTGTGGTCATGTCTGTGGGGCTGAGTGATGTCAGAGGGCTTGGCCCACTTTGAGCTGTGCCACCCCTGGGCAGGTGGTGCTGTGTGTATAAGAAAGCAGGCTGAGGACAGGCCAGGGAATAAGTCAGTAATCAGTGTTCCTCCATGGTCTGGGCTCCAGGTTTCTACCTTGGCTTCCCTTGATGATGGACTATGCTGTAAGTCTAATAAACCCTTCCCTCCCCAAGTTGGTTCTGGTGTTTTTACCACAGCAACAGAAAGTAACTAGAACAAAAATTGGTGCCAGACAGAGGGCTATTGCTATGACGGAGGTGACCCAGTTGTTTGGGGGAGGACTGTGGAACCATTTGGAACTCTGGGCTGGAAATGCCATTGAATGATTAGAGTTTAGTGAGTTGTTGCTGTGGAACCTGGAACAGTTCTGCTGAAATGAGGTATAGATAATGGAGGGCTGGCTATGACACTTCAAAAGGAAGTAAAGATTACCAGGGCTGTTAGTATGATATTCTGAATTGAGAATCTGTGGTTTCTGGTCAGTTGGGGTTGTCAAGAATCAGCCGTGACTAACAAGAGACCAGCATCACTGTAGCAAAATCTTCTGGGAAGTACTTCCTCAGGGTCAACACACAGAAGCTGTGGTCCAGAGAGGGTCTGAGCCTCCATCTCAAGCTGGAAGCAGGACTTGGTAATGTGTAAGAGTCTCCTGCATGGTTCTGATGTTGGAAAATGAAGGGGTCATGGAGCGAATCTGAGGCTTGGCACCCTGAGAGGCCAGGAAAGCCCACTGGTGAAGGTACAGCCTCAGTTTTAGTGGAGACCCCAGCTTTTTGGACCTGCCAGGATCATGGGACGACCACCAAGGGCGGCAACAGGTGTGGAGTGGAGCTGGCCTGGGTATACTGGACAAGTTGTGTGTCCTGTGGATGGCAGAGAAAGAGAAGTGGAGCTGCCCAAGCCCTTTGGGGTCCAGAAGATTGTGAATGAATCCCAGATGTCCAGCCTTAAGCTACTTTGCTGGACTTTAGTTTTGCTTAATTAAGTGTGCCCGATTCTCCCCTTTTGAAATAAGATAGTACTTCTCTTGTTTTGTATTTTACAGGAACCCAGAATTAAGAGACTTAACTTTTAAAGTGTTTGAATTTTTTTATATTTTATGTGTATGAGTATATTGCTTACATGTGTACCCATGTCGTGCAATGCCCGAGGTCAGAAAAGAGCATTTTGGATCCTCTGGAACTAGAGTTAAAAACAGTTGTTAGCTGCCATGTAGGTGCTGGGAATCAAACCTGGATCCTCTGCAAGAACAGTCAGTGCCCTTAACCTGAGCCATCTCTCCAGCCCCATTAAAGTGCTTTTAATTTTTTTTTTTTTTTAAGGACTGAGGAACTTTAAAGTTGTACTGTCTAATGTTGTGATATATCTTCAGGACAAGAAATGTAAAGGTTGTGGTTTAATAGTGATGCTTTTGTGTCAAGTTGACAAGGGGCCAATTGTGCTGGATAGTTTTAGTTGTCAACTTGACACACATGGGAAAAGGGATCCTCAAACTGGAGAACTGCTTCCGTTGAACTAGTCTGTGGCCATGTCTGTGGGGCATTTTCTTGATTGTTGAGTGTGCTGGATAGCTTTAGTGTCAACTTGACACACCTGGGTTGAGGGAGCCTCAGTCGGGGAATTGCCTCTATTGGACTGGCCTGTGGCCATGTCTGAAGGGCATCTTCTTGATGAGTGATGTGGGAGGGCCCAGCCCACTGTGGGTGGTGCCACCCCTGGGCAGGTGGGCCTGTGTTGCATAAGAAAGCAGGCTGAGCAGTAGCCGTGCGACCTCAAGCCTGTAAGTGGCGTTCCTCCTTGGTCTATGCTCCAGCCCCTGCCTGCAAGTTCCTGCCCTGAGTTCCTACCTTGGGCTCCCTGATGAACTACGTGCGACCTGGGAGATGTAAGACAAATAAACCCTTTCCTCCCCAAGTTGGTACTGGTCAGAGTGTTTTGTCACAGCAATGAAGAACAAACTAAGACATTGAGTGATGTGGGCAGTGCCACCCCTGATCAGGTGGTCTTGTGTTGTACAAAAAAGCAGGCCACTAAGCAGTGCTCCACCATGGTCAGTCCTGCCCTGAGTTCCTGTCTTGGCTTCCCTTGATGATGGACTGTGCTGTAAGCCAAATGAACCTTCCCCTCCCCAAGTTGGGTTTAGTCAGCATTTTTATCACAGCAACAGAAAGTAACTAGAACAAAGGCACTGGATAAAACACTTATAAACTACTTGGCTGGGCTGCTGTACGCTCAGTAGTGAGAACTTGTCTGGCAAGTTAAAGACCCTGAGTTTGACGGCCACGACTAGGCAGGATGGGGAGGTGGGGAGGAATTAGAAGGAGCGAAAGTATTTTAATCTTGAATTCCGGTACCTGTTCAATGAATATACAGGCTACCCCTATTTACTTAAGCAGCATTCCTAACTATCAGGAATACTTTAGTCCGTAGTGTTACACGAAAAGGTGAATCTGCCATTAGCAAATTCATACTGGTCTGATACAGGTGACAGATGCATAGTCTACAAAGGGGACTCGGAGAAGTAACACTACTTTGTCCTTCAAAGTACACGCCCATTTACTTTTTGACAAGTCACTGGTAAAGTGCACAGCCGCCTCGGTCCGAAGGCGCTGCGATGAGAACGCGCGCTGCACACGTGCACGCACGCCCGAGTGTCCGCCCGGAACTCCCCTGCTCCCCGTTCTGCCAGTGGAACTTGTGGGCCCGGAAGGTTCCCGCAGACCTGGCCCCCACCCACCTGCCCGGGGTGGTCCGCGCCCCGGTACCTGCTGGATCTCCAGCTCCATGTCGGGCTGCTGGCGGCCCAGCAGCTTCATGGGGAAGCTGGTCTGCGGTAGCAGCACCGTGTCCCGGTATCTGCCGCTATTCGGGCTGCTCAGCTGGTTGTCCACCCCGGCCACCGAGCGCCCCGCGAGCCTCCGGGCGGTCCCCAGCCAGCCAGGGTGGCCGGGAAAGCGGGGCGGCCCCCACCAGCTCCCGGCCGCTGACAGAGCCGCCGCCCCGGACGCGCGGCGGCGCAGCCCCCAACGCATCGCAGAGTACCCGGACGGACCCCTCGGCGTGGGCACCTGTCTGCAGCCCGGACTCCTAACTCACGGACCCCCGAGGGCCTGGGCCGGTCACGCGCCACTGCGCACGCGCGGGGCGACGGAAGAGGCGGGACAACGGTGGGCACGGCCTTCCAGTCCATGAGTCCGTTACTCCGGGTCTCGCCCGCTGCCTCCGGGGAAGGGAGAAGAGAGTTCCGAGCGTGCCGGCCCATCTCTCACCAGCTTAATGGACTTGAAGCCCTTAAACAGCACTGGGAGCCCGCGGTGGCAGGAGGTTCGAAAACAGCCTGAGCTAGTGATATAGGATGCCTTTCAATATATACCTATGTATAAGTTTAAGGCTGTTCATTGTTGAAGCACTTGCCTAGCATGTGCACGACCGAGACCACAGTTTCACTCCTAGCACCTATAAAAATAAAAGTGTGTGCAAGATGGCTCAGAGGGTAAAGGCAATTGTCACCAAGCCTGCCGACCCAAGTTTCATCTTCGGGTGGTGGAAGGAGACAAGGTTTCTAGTACATTGTCCCCTGGAACCTCGGATGTGCCTAGTCACTCCCCAGTCCGACACACACAAACACATGTAAAAAGTAATAAGTTAAAGAGGGCCAGGATGGGGCTGGAGAGATGGCTCAGCGGTTAAGAGCACTGACTGCTCTTGCAGAGGACCCTGGTTCGATTACCAGCACCCACATGACGGCTATGAACCATCCTTAACTCCAGTTCCAGGGGAATCCGACGACCTCTTCTGACCTCCATGGCATTGTACGACAGGTGCACTCACATATATGCAGGCACATAAAATAAAAATAAATAAAATTTTAAAAAAGAGGGTCTAGAGATGTAACTTATTTGGTAAGAGTGCTCGCCTAACATGCACAAAGCCCTGGGTTTGAGTCCCAGTACCGAAAAAAGACCATTGTGGTGACAGATGCAATCTCAGCATTCAGGAGATGGATCATTTTTCAGAAAAAAAAAAAAAAGAGAGAGAGGAACAAGAAAGAAAAGGGGAAAAAATAATGACATCTTTATTTGTACAATTGCTTTGCTTGCCCATATGTGTATTGATGTTTTTGTAGTGCCCTTGAATATGGGATGACAGCGATAGAAACTGAATCTGGGTCCTTGAAGTGTTCTTAACCCCTGAGCCACCTCTCCAATCCAAAGAAAAAAGTGTATTTTTTAAGTTGTATGCCAGGCATGGTGACACTTCTTTAGTTCCAGCACTTGGGAGGCAGAGGCAGCCCTGGTCTACAGAGCAAGTTTCAGGCCAACTTGAACTACAGGAAGACACTGTCTCAAAAAAACAAACAAAAAAGATAATGAAAGGGAAAATTATTTGGCCTAATCACAGGTGAAAAGTTCAATAGGCACCGGTGACTCATGGCCACCACTGTAGCCAGAAAAGCTTTAGGAAGTACAGAGATCTATGTAAATATTACCAAAGAGCAAACTGTCAAAATGTCAAATTGTATTTTAAAGATGTCATTAGGGCTTGGATAAGTTCCTTTGCTGGGTGTAGTGGTGCATGCCTTTAATCCCAGCACTCTGGAAGAAGAGTTCAAGGCCAGCCAGGTCTACATAGTGAGTTCCAGGCCAGCTGGGGCTACAGGGAGACCCTGTCTCAAAAAGGATCTGGGACAGGTTCCCCAAATGGGATGAGAAATGGGCAGAGAGTGAAAGGGGGGTGGTCTAATTAAGGAAACTAGAAAATGTAGCTCAGAGACAGTGTGAGACCCTGGGTTCAATCCCCAGTTCCACCAAAATACATATCTAACTGGCTTTATTAGCCACTTGCTAAGCAGATTGGCCATTTCAAATTTACCCTCCTTATAGGGGAGTGAATGAGATTTGGCTATCGTCTCCTGTCTGATTTCTTGCAAACTCAAATATGAAAAGTAAACAAGTTAGGTTCCCTTTGGTGATGTGGAACTTAAGCAACACTGGCTCCATTTGGGTTGATCTGTTGAGTCTAGTGCAAGAATTCGGTTCAAATCAATGTCCTCTCAAATTTTTAATTAACAGTATTATATGGCAACATTGCTGTGTTTTTAAAAAATTCTCTGAGTTCTTGCACAGCCCACTCTGCCACTCTGACAGAGCAGTGTAGTGTATGTGGGAATTTCTGTTCATACTTCTGATAGATTTTGCTTTATTTGGTTATCCACTTAATAGTTGACAACTGTTACCATTTCGCTGTCAAAAACAGGTCTTAGGTAAACTCTAATAAAACAGAACTTAAGAGTATTTGGTTTATATAAATAAAAACTTTCTTATTGGGGGGGGTCAGAGTCTCCCTGTAGCCTCAACTGGCCTGGCCTGGAACTCATTATGTAGACCAGGCTGGCCTTGAACTCACAGAGATCTGCCTGCCTCTGCCTCCCAAGTGCTGGTACTAAAGGCATGTGCCACCACGCCCTGCCCAAGACTATATTTTTATATGTCACAGAAAACTGAAGGCAAGTGGTAAACAATATACCTCAGGGGCTGGAGAGATGGCTCAGCGGTTAAGAACACTGGTTGTTCTAGCAGAAGACCTGGGTTTGAATCCCAGCACCCACATAGCAGCTAACAACTGTCCAGAACTCCAGTTCCAAGGGGTTCGACAGCCTCTCCTGTCCTCCTCAGACATTGCACAACATGGGTGCACTTACCTACATGCAGGCAATACATTCATACACATAAAAATAACAAAATATTTTTTAAAAACCAATATACCTCAATCAATCCAGCTTTTACCAGGGGATGCTCCAAATATCTACCTATACTAACTCATTTAACCTTCAAACACAAGTGAAATGAAGATATAACACACCAAAAAACTTCTGAGAGGTGGCAGTGCTGGTTACTGTTTGCCAACTTGACACAAACTAGAGACACCTTGGAAGAGGGAACCTCTTTATGAACTGTGGTCAAGTTCATGAAGCATTTCTTTATTGTTAATTGATGTAGGAGGGCTCAGCCCACTGTAGGTGGTGCCATCCCTGGGCATGTGAGCCTGGGCTGTGTAAGAAAAGTAGCTGATCAAGCCAGAGGAAGTAAGCCAGTGAGCAGTGTTCTTCCATGGTCTCTGCTTCAGTTCCTGTCTCCAGGTTCCTCCTTTGAGTTTCTGCCCTGGCTTCCCTCAATGATTGATGGTAACCTATAAGCTGTCCAGGGTCATAGAAGTAAGAAATAGGGGAACTCAACTGAATTTTAATTTAGTCAGTGTAAGGCTCCAGTTCCTGTGTGCTTAACCATCACACTATATTGCCATTCCTATGCTATGCTGTAGAAGAAACACTTGAAACACATTTTTAAAATAATATGCAAAATATATTTTTAATGCGATATCTTTTATATATATTTTATGTGTATGAGTGTATTTCCTGCATGTATGAGTGCATCCGTGTTGTGCAATGACATAGAGGTCAGAAGAGGGCTTTGGAGTCCCCTGGAATTGCAGTGAAGGGTGGTTCGTAGCTTCTATGTGGGTGCTGGGAATCGAACCCAGGTCCTCTGCAGAGCAGTAAGTGCTCTTAACCACTGAGCCATCCCTCCATCCCCCGCAAAAATATATTTTATATATCTTCTACCAATCAAGATAAGACAGAAAAATAGCAAAAGATAGCACAGGCAGTTCATAAAGAAAATAGCTAGCAAATGAAAAAGATGCCTAACTTTGGGAGCCATGAGGACAGTCAGCCAAAGCACCTTTCTTCATCTAACAGATTAGAACAAAAATTAAGTTTGGTAGCAGATGTTGGGAGAGTGTTGGTGGTAGGGTAGAATATGTTGTGTCCCCTTCCTCTGTTTTCATATGTGTGGTGTGCATATGTGTATATGCATGTTTGCTGGCGCGCCTGTGTGAATGCACTTGCGAGGTCTGAGGCTGATGTTGGGAATCTTCCAACACTCTTCCACCTTATTTAATGAGGCAGAGTCTCTCAGTCAAACCCAGAGCTTGCCAGTATAGTCAGGCTCCCTAGCCAGCTTGTTCTGGGGATCCCCTGCCTCCTGTATGCATTTGGTACATGTACATGCAGGCAATACACTCATACACATAAAACGTAATAAATGAAACAAAGCCAAGCTTGGTGGGGCCGTCTGCAGTCCCAGCACTGCAGAGCATGAGGTAGGGGAACGTCTTGTTCAAGACCAGCCTGGACGCTTAACCCTGTCTCAAGAAACAAAACAACAGAAGCCAGAACCTTCCCTGACTGGCCCACTCTGGCTCTGACAGCAGGTGGTTGCGCCTGCAGTAAGTTCGCAGAAAACCTGAAAAAGGGGATTATAGGGCAGCCGCGGAAAGTCACTGTGCGCTTGCGCCCAGTTTCGCGCATGCTCAGTAGCTCGGACCGCGATGCCCTCTGCTCCTTTAACCTCCGGACTTGGCTGAAGCGCGGTAGTGGACGCCGCGAGGGACCTGCGGGTGCACCACGCCGTCCCGGCCCCAGCGCGCTCGGCTCCCGAGCTGGTCCAGTTGCTGTAAGTGTCTCCTGGGCAGGGCTGGGCCCTCGGCCGCTTCACTCCGCCTGCCGCCTGCCGCCTGCCCCTCTGCGCAGATCTGAGCGGAGTCGAGGCGTTTGTGCGCAGACAGACCTTCCTGTGAATTAAATCGCCGGCTTCGGCCCGGGATCCCACCCTCGAGAGTCCACGTTTACCCGTCTGTCCGGTTTGCTGTGCATTGTGCAGTCCTGCCGGCAAGGCTCGGCTTGACAGGTCCTACTGCATCCGTTTTAGAGGCGCTTTTAAATGAGCTTTCATTATAATAGCGAATATTCTTTCAGTTTCTGCATATCTGTATCCTGTATGATTTGATTTTCCCGGGAATATAATAGCTGGATGAAAAGACGTATATATTTCACTTCTATTGAAGGTCTCCGGGCCGTGCTAACGAGGTTTCACAGATGCCCAGAGCTCACTCAAACTCATGCAGACTGCACAGACTCTTACATATGCCAATCTTAATAATTTCTCATGCGTTTAGTTTGTGTTTCTTTCATAATTCAGTAAAGTTGAGCATTTTTTATTTAGTGACCAGTGCTTTTCTTTTTTTAGGAACTGCCTGTTAACTGCTCTTGTCTTGTTTTTACTGGATTATTCATCTTTTACATACTGGTATGTAAGAAAGAACTCTTTACAAAATAGCTCAATTGCTGAGTATATGGGTCAAGATCTTTCCCCCTCCCTTTATCAATTATGTGTTTACTTTATAGCATTTTGGTCACATGGAAGTTTTAATTAATGCATTGTTTGTAACTTCTCAGTCTTAATGCTTTAAAAGTCTTTACAAGTTTATAAAAACAATCCCATACATTTATGGTTTCGTTTTCTATGTTTAATTAAAAGAACATAAATTGACTTGTAATATACATGCATATATATAGAGAGAGAGAGAGAGAGAGAGAGACAGAGAGAGAGAGAGAGAGAGAGAGAAAGAGTACACAAGCGAGACTATATAGCCTAGGCTGGCCTCAAACTCAAGTTCCTTTTGTTTCAACCTCCTGGGTTCTGAGATTATAGGAGTGTTATTTCACCCAGGACTACGTGGAGCGTGTGTGTGTGTGTGTTTACATTTGTTTATTGTATGTGTACCTACATGTGCACACAAGTGTCACTCTGTGTGTGTGTGTGTGTGTGTGTGTGTGTGTGTATAGGTCAGAGGACAACTTTTGGGGGTTGGCTCTCTCCCACCATGTGGGTTCCAAGCAGGAATTTGGCTGGGGGATATAATTCAGTTGATGACTGCTTGTTTAGCATGCATGGGGCCCTGGGTTCAATATATCCATGTTCTCTCTCTCTCTCTGTGTGCTGAGAAAGTATCTCACTAGGTAGTCCAAGCTAGCCTAGAGCATGCCAGGTAACCAGGTTAGCCTGGAACTCTCAGTCCTCCTGCCTCAGCTTCCTAAGGGCAGGGACTATAAACATGCACCACTATGTGCTGCTGATTACTGGCTCTGTATTGGTTGTTAAGAATTTGCTCTGTCATGCTCATATTTTTAATCTTTCCAGATACTTGAACTTTAGCATCATTTAACCAGGTTCCAAAGATAAATGATTTTAATGTTTTTATCAAGAACACATTAGTCATTTTTAGATCCTAATCCTCATCTTTACCACCTTTGTATGAATTAAAGATTAAGGACAAAAATGAGATATGGTAATTCTTTTGTCATTAAGCCTCAAGGACATAAGACAAAACTGGCCATTTGATTTCCATTTTGTTTTGTTTTGAGACAGGGTATCACTATGTATCCCTGGCTAGCCTGACACTTTTAGTCCAGGCTAGCCTCATTGTTGCAGCAGTTGTCCTAGGAGCCTTAGGAGTGCTGAGATTGCAGATAGGGATCATTGCACCTGGCTTGTCTTATTTTCCATCCCTCTAAACTAGCCTATTGGCAGTTGGACAGATTTCCTTAAATGAATGGGGATTTGGTTGATTGCTTTGTTAGAAAATGTTCTTCATATTTGCTCTAAGCCTAGACTGTAGTGAAGAACTTGTTCTGTGACTTGGGGTTCTGTTAGTTATCCTGTTACATCCTTATGGTCAGAGTACCCTTTGTAATAGTTAATTTTTCATCACCGTGGCAAATACCTGACAGAAACAATTTAAGGGAGGAGGCTTTACTTTGCCTAAGCATTTAAGGGGGTTACAGTCCATCCCTGTAGAGAAGGCATGGTGGCCAGGGCTCTGTTCATGACTGTGGAAGTGTGCATTTTGGTGGATCAGGAAGCTTGAGCAGGAAGCAGAGAACTTGAGTAGGTATTAGGACTGGGCTGTCACTCTTAAGGCCCACTACCAATAACCCACTCCCTCCAACTAGGCCCAGAGGTTCCACTCACAGTCTCCCAAAACATCATCACTAGGGGGTGACCATGTTCAACCACATGAGCCTGTGGGAAGTATTTTTCATCCAAACCATAACATACTCTCAAAAGAGTAATCTTTTTTTAGATTAGTTTAAATTTTTTATTATTATTTTTTTATGTATATGAATGTTTGCCTTGCATGTGTGTAAGTGCACCCATGTTGTGTAATGCCTGTAGAGGCCAGAAGAGAGCATAGGATCCCCTGGAACTGGAGTTAGGGCAGTTGTTAGCTGCCATGTGGGTGATGGGAACTGAACCTGGATCCTCTGCAAGAGTAGCCTCCGTTCTTACCCAGTGAGCCATCTCAGCATAATTTTGTTTTAAATTATGTGTATGTATGTGTGTCTGTGTTTATGTGGATATGTGAACATAGTGCAGGTGGCCAGAAGAGTGTATTTCATCCCCTGGAGCTGGAATTACAGGCAGATATGAGCCACATAGTGTAGGTGCTAGGAACTGAACCCATGTCTACTGCAAGAGCAGTATGCTTTTTTTTTTTTTTTTTTTTTTTTAAGACAGGGTCTCCCTGTAGCCATAGCTATGCTGGATTTGCTATGGAGACCAGGCTGGCCTTGAACTCATAGAGATCCACCTGCCTCTGCCTCCCAAGGCATGTACCACCACACCCAGCTAGCAATATGCATTCTAAGCTGCCAAACCATCTCTCTAGCCCCTAACCTTTTGTTCATAACACTCCTCTGTATCCCTGTTGAAATAAACAGAAATAAGAAAACCACTTACATATGTTTAGCCAGTGATACTTGCCGCTTATGTATAAGGTCAGGTGCCTTACAGGTACTAATTCAATAATTACAACAACCCTATACTAATAGCTGCTGGTTTTTTCACCCTATTTGTAAGTTCAAGCACCGAGAGTTTAGGTGGCTTTTCTATAGTCTCAGAGCTAAGGTGTGCCAGAACAGGATTTGAACATGGCGGTTGACTGCAGACTCTGTGTCCTTGATTACCACACTATTTTGGCCAAGCTTTGAAAATGTCAGGTCTCCCAAAAAGTAGCGCTTTAGGACCTACAGATGTAAGCTCCCAGAGAAGGAGTTGAATGGGTGTTATTTGAACAGCTGGAAGCAAGTTCACTTGGAGCTAGTTTGGGCCATTCTCAGTCTACCTGTCACCTCAAAAGGTAATTCTCATTTAAGTCTCCAGGGAACGCAGGGGCAGAAGTGGAAAGGGTAGTAAGAATCGCATACAGATTTTGTATTTTGATAATATTTGCATTTTTTTATATTGAGAACCTAAAATGTATGCATTTGTTTAAAAACTATATTAATAAAATGATTAGAACTGGGAGATAGTAATATTTCATTACTAGCTCAGTGAAATATGTACTTCAGAAAAAAAAAAAAAAGAAATATTTCCTTATTTGCCAGCCAGAATTGACTTGTGGAATCTCTGTAAAGCATTATTTTCCTCTATGTCATTTTTTCCTATTCTTAGTTTCTATAAACTGATGTTCTCTTTGAGTTGTGGTTTGTAAGCATAGTGTACATTTTGTAAGGAAGGTAGTGGGTGGACAAAAACTGCAAGTTTGTCATTGGGAGAAGGAACTACTGTGTACTTGGCCAACTTAAAGAATGGTATGATCATGCTCGAAGCCTGACAAGGGTCAGATGATTGCTTCATTGGCTTAAGGGTAAATGATATCTGTGAAAAGTTAAGGGAACACCATATAGTGATGGAAAATGATCCCCTTGTCACCAGAGAAGCCTTATATAACATGGGGACTGAGTGAGCACGTCCATTCATTAAAGTGTCCTTTCCACTTGAGGCACGTGGAAGGGCTGAAGCTGTAGCGCAGTGAAAAAAAGAACTTAGTAAACAAGGCCCTGGGTTTGATCTTCAGTGTGGCAAAAAGGGGCGGGGGGGGAAGGAGGAGGAGGAGGAGGAGGAGGAGGAGGATTTTGAAGGTTTTTCTTTTCTTCCTGTTTTTTTTCTCTCTCTTTCTTTGAATCAAAGTATCTTTATCCAGCTTGACATAGAACTTGCTATGTAGCACAGGCTGGTCTTTAACACAGGCTCCTACCCTGACCTCTTGAGTACTGGGACTACATACATCTCTAGGCAGTCAAGCCTGGCTTGTTTTTCTTTTTGGTTTTTTGTTTTTGTTTTTTTGTTTTTTTTGTTGTTGTTGTTTTGTTTCTTGGTGTACTGAGGATTGACCAAGGCCTTGCACGTTTAAAGCAAGTGTTCCAATCGCTGTCCTACACTGCCAGCCTAGGAGTGTCTGCTTGGGCCTGTTCCCTGTAAGCACTCCGAGACAGAAATAAGGGAATGTTGTTAGAATCAACTGCTTGTGCATAGAAAGAGGAGGCAGTGGGAGGGAGGAGATTAGGCCAGGATGTAGTGTCAGCTGACACCTCAGTTCACCGTACTGACATGGCCCTTCAGAGTGGCCTTCACACTTTTCCTATAGAAGCCAGGCATGGTGGTGTATACTTGTAATCCCAGCACTCGGGAGGATGAGGCATGAGAGTTAGTACTTTGAAGCCAGCCTGGGCTACACAGTCAGATTCCGTCTTAAAACAAACCACCACCAACAACAACAAAAACAAAAACCAGTGTGGATGATGGCGGGGGTGGGGTTGGGGGTCTTCCTGGCAAGTGTGAGGTAAAGTGACTCTTCTTACGTGATGAGTTCCCAGAGAAACATGGCCATGAGGGCCCATATGTTGGTAGCAGTGTTAGCAACAAGGAATCCCTTCTGCCATAAAGCAAACCTGAGTGGTGCATTCCAGCATCCAAAACAGCCCCTAACACTGGAGCATTTGACTTCTGTTTTCCAGGAGGTGTGCCCTTGATCCTAAAGGCTGTTTTGTCCACTTTGTTGGCTCTTGCAACTTCTCTGACCTGTGTCCTTTTTCAGGTGATTGGTCTTCGTTGTAGCTAGGTAGGATGCTTGTTTTCCTTATTTGGCTACTGTTGAGGATGAGGCACAAGAAAATTAAATTTGATTCAGTCTCAAAATATATTCATTGATTTTTCAGAAAATAACTGTAAACACATGCATTCTCATTATTACTTTTTAAAACATTGCTAGAGATTGAATGCAGGGTCTTGTGCATGCTAGGCTGCTGGGCTTCTGCCACTGAGCTGCATCCCAGTCCCTCTGTCCCAGCTTCCCCCATATATACACTCAAGGCCCTTAAGCTATTTAGACCTTGCTTTCTTCTTTTTTAAAGATTTATTTTTATTTTATGTGTATGTGTGAGTATCTGCATGTATGTACATGTACCATTTGGGTACAGTGCACATGGAAGCCAGAAGAAGGTGTCATATCCCCTGAACTGGAATTACAGGTAGTTGTTAGCTGCCATGTGGGTTCTGGGAACTGAATCTGGGTCCTCTGCAAGAGCAGTAAGTGCTCTTAACCACTGAGCCATCTCTGCAGACCACATTCAGAGTTGAAATTGGTACATACCGATTTCATGTTACATTATTTTGCCTATAACCCCCACACTATCGATGCTACAACTTCCATTTTTAGATCCTAAAACCTCCTTGGGCTTTGCAGGTTACAGACTCAGAACTTTTTCATCTGCTAAGCTTGTTCTCCAGACTTTGAAACGCTCTGTAGGCAGAGAAAGAACATTATAGGGTTTATTAAGAGTTAATAACGAAACAGTTTTCCCAAGTCTCTTTTATCATATATTTATTAAAGAGCCTATGCAGTTAATTGAGGCAATGCCAAATATTCAATAAATTTGTGTTTGATTGAACTTAAGTAAATAAAACTAGCAACTGATCTTTAACAAAAGGATTTTCTCATTTTCCCTCAGAGCTATCATGGCTTCCAGTCACACAGTGTTGATGCGGTTGGTGGCCTCCGCGTATTCTATTGCTCAGAAGGCAGGGACTATCGTTAGACGCATCATTGCTGAAGGAGACCTCGGCATTGTGGAGAAGGTAGTGCAAGTCTCGTCGTTTCCTGTAATCCTGATTGTTCTTTGCAGTAGCCAAAGAATGTCATAAAATGATTGCGATCACAGGATCCTTAGTTCAATTGGGCTCCATATCCACTTTGAAAATGACTCTAGACCTCAACCAAGATCTTTATTTATATGACTGAGCTGCCTGGCTGATGTTCTTCCCCAGAACAAATCTTAATTTGATGCACACAAAACTGCCATCCTTAGGACACCTGACATGTTTGGTAAAATCTGATTCTGAACTTGGGAGGCAGAGGCAGAGGCAGGAGGATGGCAAGTTCAAAGCCAGCCTGGGCTATATAGTGAGACCTTATCCCAAAATTTACAAAAAAAAAAAAAAAAAAAGATTCAAACTATTCATAACTATATACTAGGATTGCAGGTGTGAGCCACTGTGTTTGGCTCCTGTCTTTTTTATTTTTAAAGATTTATTTCAGTTTTTATTTATATGTATGTGTGTGTCTGTCTGTCTACCATGTTTGTGTGGGTCCCTGTAGAGGCCAGAAGAGGGAGTCAGATCCCATGGAGCTAGAGCTGCCATGTGGGTGCTAGGAACTGAACTCAGGTCCTCTGCAAGAACAGCCAGTGCTCTTAACCCCTGAGCCACCTCTCCAGCCTCCTCATTTTATTCTTTTGGTTTATTGTTTCCTAAAAATTTTATGTGTATGAGTGTTTTGCCTGAATGTATGTAAGTGTATCCATGTCATCAATGCCTGTGGAGGCTAGAAGAGGACATCAGATCCCCTGGAACTGGAGTTATAGATGATTGTTAGCCACCATTTGGTTTCTGGGACTGAACCCAGATTCTCTCCAAGAGCAGTCAGTGCTCTTAAACCACTGAGCCATGTCTCCAGCCCACTGACATCTTATTTTAATCAAATTGTCGACCAAAGTCACGAGAGTGATGAAGCATAGTCCTGTGTGGACAGAAAATGGAGGAAATGATTGTCTTAGAGAAGTAAAATGTTGAGATAGCTTCCCTCATGTTGAATGGACCTTGATCAATGTCTTTTTTTTTTTCTTTCTAATAACAGTAGTCTCCAGACTTTGTAATGTATAGTTAATCTTTAAGCTCAACTATTAAGTAGTTTCACTTAATAGCTAGTGTACTGGATAGCTTTAGTGTCAATTTGACACACCTGAGTTGAGGGAGCCTCAATTGGGGAGTTGCTTCCATAGGACTGGCCTGTGGCTATGTATGTGGGGCATCTTCTTGATTGATGAGTGATGTGGGAGAGCCCAGCCCACTGTGGATGGTGCCACCCCTGGGCAGGTGGGCCTGTGTTGCATAAGAAAGGAAGCTGAGCAGGGGGCAGGGGAGCAAGTCAGTAAGCAGTGATCCTCCATGGCCTGTGCTCTAGCTCCTGCCTCCAGGTTCCTTCCCTCAGTTCCTACCTTGGGCTCCCTGATGAACTGTGAACCAGGAGATGTAAGATAAAAATAAACTCTTTCCTCCCCAAGTTGGTATTAGTCAGAGTGTTTTGTCACATCAATGGAGAAACAAACTAGGACAGAAAATTTATATATACAGCATTTACTGTATGTCAGGCAAGATTCTTTAGAGAGTAAAACTCCTCTGAGAAGTTCACATTCCAGCAAAATAATTCTTTACCTTGAGAAAACCAGCAAACTTCTGTGTGACATGAAGGGGTGATTTCCATCTCACTCCTTCGCTCACTACAGAGTATTATAAGCATTGTACCCTTTAAGGGATCACAACCCTGACATCCATCTAATCAGTGATATCACTCACAGTGATATCACAGTTCCACTGCCTTGAACTAGCGTGATATCTACAATAGGGATTGCTAGAGACATGGCTCAGCATTAAAAGGATCTGAGTTTGGTTCCCAGCATTCACATCTGGCAGCTCACAATCACCTGTCACTATAGCTCCATGGAATATGATACTGCTGGCCTCCATGGACAACTGCACTCACATGCATGCACACGTATGCATGCACACACAGACACGCAATTATAAATAATAAAAACAAAAACTTGTGAAATAGGGATTGAGTAGGTCACTGTAGGTTGGCTATACATTGAATATTAATGTTATTGTCACTCATTTTCATGTGTGTGTGTGTGTGTGTGTGTGTGTGTGTGTGTGTGTGTTTAAGAATGCTTAAGCTAGGCATGGTAGTGTACACCTGTAACCCCAGCACTTAGGAGGTGGAAGGAGGATGATCAGGAACTCAAAGGGAGTCTTAGCTACATAGTGGGTTCAAGACCAGCCTGGGCTACATGAAACCCTGCTTCAGTGCCATCCCCACCCCAGAAAAGAAATCAGAATTTTTTTCTAATGCATTAGTGAATCATCTTTAGGACCTTGTGATTAGTGAGGGAAAGTTATAGAAAGAGTACTCTTCAAATGCTGATGATGGAGGGCTTAATTTGCTCTGGAAAAGTCTAAATCTGTCTTTTTGTTTGTTTTTGTTTTTTATACAGGGTCTCACTATATAGCCTGGGCTGGCCTGGAACTTAGGGTGAGTCTCCTGCTTCTGCTCTGAAAGTATGGGATTATCAGCGTGCACCACCACACTGGCAATTTCCTGTCTTTTAACATATATAAGCAGGTTGATAGCTAGAGATCTTATAAAAGAATTTTTGGCTGGGCGTGGTGGCGCTTGCCTTTAGTCCCAGCACTGGGGAGGCAGAGGCAGGTGGATCTCTGTGAGTTCAAGGCCAGCCTTGTCTATATAGTGAGATCCAGGCCAGCTACAGGGAGACCCTGTCTCAAGAAAAAGCCAAAAAAAAAAAGAATTTCTGAACCAGAGAAGAAAATTTTAAAGCACCTTTCCAAACTTTAACTGTTATACTGCTGGGAACATAGCTCAGGGTAGAGTGTTGGCTTAGCACAAGTAAGGCTGTTTGTTTGCTCTCCAGCCAGACACAAGCATGCATACCTCATTTCTGAACTTGGTTTATTTATTGAGGCACTGTCACAATGTAGCCCAAGCTGGCCATAAACTCATGGTAATCCTCCTACCTCACCTCCCAGGTTGTGGGATTACAGGCTTGTGCCACCACACCCAGCCTCACTTCTCAGTAGTTTTTGTTGTAGATGACTGATTTCCTGCATGTATGTATGTGCACCACATTTGTGCAGTACTCTTAGAGGCCAGAAGAGGGCATAAGAATCCCCTGGAAGTGAAGTTATAGATGACTGTGAGCTGCCATGTGGGTGCTGAGAACCAAATCCAGGGCCACTGCAAGAGCAGCTAGAGCTCTTCACCACTGAACCATCTCTCCAGCCCCATTTCCCAGTTTTAACTGCTATTAATTCTGTGAAAAGACATAAAACACAAAACTAGTGGATTCATATTGTGTTAAGCTCTGTGAACCTAAAAACTAGAAGTGTAGCGTAAATTCTATAGCTGCTATGCACTCAGCAGTCTGAGGACTAGCTATTTCCTGTTAGTTCTGTTCCAGTGTGCATTGTTTGTTACAGACCTCGGCCACAGACCTGCAGACCAAAGCTGACCGCCTGGTGCAGATGAGCATATGTTCCTCCCTGGCCCGGAAGTTCCCCAAGTTGACAATTATTGGGGAGGAGGTGAGTCATCAAGGAATGCTGCAGTTCTGAATTCCTGTTTGCATAAAAGTTTATAACAAACATGCCACTGAATAATATATCTCTAGACAGTGTTAGCTCTCTAGCTAGTGTTGGCACACAGGAGTGAATGTATTCTTTAGAGGAAATAATCTAATTTTAAATATTGTGGTCCATTTCACAGCCTAGTCTCCATTCTTAGTGTTAGGAGATTTGGTTACTATCATAATTAATACAAACTATAAGGTGGGCTCAGTGGTAGAGCATGTGCCTACTGTACTTGCTGTTCTTAGGGGGTAGGGCGGGGATATCTCTGTAAGAAGAGCCTGTGGCTGGCTAGGGCTGGAGAGATGGCTCAGTGGTTAAGAGTACTGGGTGCTCTTCCAGAGGATCTGGGTTCTGTTCTCAGCACCCACATGATGACTAACAACCCTCCATAACTCCATGTCCAGGGGACCTGACGTCTTCTTTTGGTCTCCATGGGCATTGTATGCACACTAGAGTATCCTTACATACATGCAGACAAAACACTCATACACATAAAATAAAAACAGATTTTTAAAAAAGAACCAGTGGTTCACATCTGGTTCAATCTTCAGCACCAAAATATAAATTTTTAAAAGAGGCAGAGTTCTGGAAGTTTGAAATGGAGTAGGTTTTGTTATTGTTTGCTTGGTTCTTGTTTCAAAACTTAGACTTGTACACTGGTGGCTGAAAGAGTAGAGTATGTTTCTGTTTTTTATGTTAGTTCTTTTATAGTTTTATGCGTGTCTGTGGTGCATTCCGGCTCTCTCTCCCCTCACTTTTTCTCCCTCCTACTCCTGTCTCCCATCCTGTCCCTAACCAGATTTCATGACCTTTAGTTTTGTGTGTGACCCATTTTGTTTAACCAGGACCATCTACGTGACCATTCAATTTAGCCTATCCATTGGAGCCTGGTGGCACCACCAGAGGGTTCACAACTAGGGGCAATGAGTCCCCCTTCCCTGAATCTGAATGTAGGACGTACTTCAGCAGTGAGGGTGGGACCCTCACGTCTCTCCTCCATCCTTGCTTGGCTGTGGGTAAGCCCCGTTCTTGTGCAGACCCAGTGCAGTCATCTGTAGTTGTTGAGAGTTCGTGATTGCAATGGCTGTATGTTACCCAGAAGGTGGCGTTGTTTCATAGCCCTTCTTCCTGTTTTCCGGCTCTCACCGTCTTCCTGCCCCTCTTCTGCAATGCTCCCTGAGCCTTGGCGAGGCTGGCATGAATGTATCATTTATTCAGAGCCTTAATATAGCCATTCTGATTGGGGTGAGATTGAATCTCAAAGTAGTTTTAATTTGTATTTCCCTGATGATTAGTGATGTTGAACGTATTATTTTAAAAAGTATTCACTGGTCATTTATATTTCTTCTTTTCAAAGATCTATAGCCCATTTTTTGATTGGGTTGTTTACTTTCCTGGTGTTTTGGCTCTTCGTTTTTTTGTGCTGTCTAGATAACTAATTTTCTTTTGGATGCATAGCAGGCTCTTTCATTCTGCAGGCAGCCTCTACGTGATTAGGGTTTCCTTTGCTGTACAGAAGCTTTTCAGTTTGGGGGCTGGAGAGATGGCTCAGCAGTTAAGAGCATTGACTGCTCTTGCAGAGGACCTGGGTTCAGGGAATCCAACTCCTTCTTCTGACCTCTGCAGGCATTGCACTTATGGGTGCACTTACATACATGCAGGCGGTACACTCAAACACATAAAATAAAAATAATAAAATATTTTAAAAAAAGAATTGCTCTGGCTATCGAGGGTCTCTTGTGGTTCTGTGTAAATATTGTTTCTTCTATTTCTGTAAAGAAGGTCATGGAGATTTTGATTGGGATTTCATTGAATCTGTAAGTTGTTTTTTGGTAGGATGGCCATTTTTACAATATTAATTCCACTAATCCATGAGCATGGTATGCCTTTCCATCTCTGGTGTCTTCCTTGATTTCTTTTTTCAGAGTCTTAAAGTTTTCATTGACGAGGTCTCTCACCTCCTTGGGTAGGTTTACTCGGGTATTTTAATATTTTTTTTAGGCTATTATGAATGGGATTATCCCAATTTCTTTCTCAGTGTTTGTAATCAGTATATAGAAAGGCTAATGATTTTTGTGTATTAATTTTGTATCCTGCCACTTTGCTAAAAGTGTTGACCAATTCTACAAGTTTTTTGGTGGATTCTTCAGGGTCATTATATAAAACACCATGTAATCTGCAGACAGGGAATTTTGAGCTCTTCTTTCCTATCTGTAGCCTTTTATTTCCTTCTCTTGTCAAATTGCTCTAGCTAAGACTTCAAGCCCCATACTGAATAGGAGTGGATATAGTGGACAGCCCCACCTTGTTTCTGATATTTATTTATTTATTTTATGTGTAAGAGTGTTATGCCTACATGGAGTTACGGATAGTTGTTAGCCATCGTGTGGTGCTGGGATTTGAAACCAGGTCTTCTGCAAGAATAGCCAGTGTTCTTAACCACTGATCTATCTCTTCAGCCCTTGTTTTTTATTTTAATGCTGCTGTTTGTTCGACAGGATCTTACTGTGTATGTAGCCCAGGTTGGCCTTGATCTCTTTCTGCCTCAGCCACCCAAGTGCTGTGATTTTAGGTATACCCAGGGTCTTATATATGCTAAACAAATGCTGTACTACTGAGCTACATCCCCAGTCCTAGTAAAACCAGATGCTCAGATTCATAACTCGCTGCCTTAATTTCCCAGCATTCTTAAAATGAGAAGGGGGCTAGAGAGCTGCCTCAGCAGTTAAGAGCACTGACTACTCTTGCAGAAGACCTGGGGTTCAATTCCCAGTAACTACAATGCAGCTGACAACCATCTGTAACTCTGTTTCCAGGAGATCCGATACCCTCTTCTGTCCTCTGTGGGCACTGCACACATGTGATACACTTTCCTACATGCAGGCAGAACACTCCTACACATGAAATAAAATAAATAAAAGTCAATTGAAAAAAGAAAATTGGGAAACAAATGGGTAGAGGAAAATGGATTTGTATATGGTTTTGGATGAACTGGGAAGAGAAAAGTTTTGAGTTCCTGTTAGGTGGTCCTGAATCAAGGTTGAAACAAAAATGGAAACAGAAGCCAGGATCCAACAGCAAGGTGAGTTGTCAGAACTGTAAGACTCTTTCTGGCGGCAGGGACCTTCCTGGTGCCCATACTTCCTGCTCTTGGAAGCTGCTGGGGAACTCCTATTCCTCACTTTATTTCCTCAAGGCTCCTGCTTCACTGTTCTGCTAGGCTTGCTATAAAAGCTCTAAATGTAAGTCAGAGAGCCAGAGAAAGTTGTGATGTTGCATTTCCCCTGTTAGAAACACAAAACGCCCAGCACTTGGGAAGCAGAGGCAGGCGGAGCTCTGTGAGTTCAAGGCCAGCCTGGTCTACATAGTGAGTCCCAGGCCAGCTGGGGCTACAGGGAAACCTTGTCTCAAAAAGACCAAAAAAGAAAGAAACACAAAACGCATTCTGGGAACAGACAATCAACTTCAGCAGTGTTCTGTTGTCTCTGCTCCAGGATCTGCCTCCTGAGGAAGTGGACCAAGAGCTGATTGAAGATGGCCAGTGGGAGGAAATTCTGAAGCAACCATGCCCTTCACAGTACAGTGCCATTAAAGAGGAAGATGTAGGTGCTGCATGCTTTGTTCTCTATGCTAATCTGTATTTGTTGCTGTGGTGACGGCACTAAAATTTATGTGTAAGAGGAAAAGTTGGGGGCTGGAGAGATGGCTCAGCAGTTAAGAACACTGCTCTTCTTGCAAGAGACCCGGGTTTGACTCCCAGCACCCACGTGGCAGCTAACAACTGTCCGTAACTCCAGTTCCAGGGGATCCAACAGCGTCTTCTGTCTTCCATGGGCATTGAACGACATGGGTGCACTTACCTACATGCAGGCAAAACACGCATACGCATAAAATAAAAATAATAAATAAAATATTTTTTAACAAAAAAAGAGGAAGAGTTGGTAGTTTTATAAAATAGGGACAATCAGAAACTTGAAGTCTCTCAGAGCTAGCTGAAGTAGGTGACCATATAGATAGATACCTGACCGATGTCAGAGTTTAGTTTGTTCTCCTCTGAGTTTATTTTCCACTCTGAAGCCATTTTAAAAAATGCTTCTAGGAAGAAAGTTTTATTTGTTGTTGAGTAGATTTGATAGTAAAATATTATGTTGGTGATTGGGGCTGGTTGGTTTTTTAAAAGCCATAAAAATCTCACTTGGGGTTGGAACAATGACTCAGCAGGTCAGAGGACTTGCTGATCTTCCACAGGATCCAAGTTCGGTTCCCAACACTCACACCAAGTAGCTCACAGCCATCTGTGACTCCAGCTCCAAGGGATCTGATTGCCTTCTGGCTTCTGCAGGCAACTGCATATATGTGACATACACTCTCATACACACACACAAATAACAGCTAAAAATATTTTTTGAAAGAAACATCTCACTTTTTAAGAGCTGCATATATCAATGTATGAGTCAGATTTCACTATATTTTTCTAATTGTAAATCGTTTAACATGCACTTATGTATGTAGTAATTATGGTGCAGGATAAAAAGAGACGGTGTCTTCCATCAGAGATGAATCTCACTCAAATTCACATCAAGTTTATTGAGTATCCAGGGCAGAGTATTCTGACTGGTGTTGAGAGTGTTGAGTGTAAGAAAATGTTGTTACTTTCTTGACATTCAGTTTTTGTAGGTTAGTATTATCTGTGTCCTTAACATAATCACATTTTTTATTATGTTTTAAATCAGAGCTTGTATATAAAATGAGTAACTGTAATTATTCAAAACATTCTTAATGTCACATTGAAAATTTGCCCTGTAGCGCCATCTAGAGCCCAGTGTATTCATGATGTGCTTAGTGTTAAAGTGACAGCAAACATTTATCAGCTAAGTATTATAAAACATAATAAAACTTTTTTCTTAAATTTTAAAAAATATTTTATTTATTAATTTTATTATGTGTATGAGTGTATTGCCTGCATGTATGTGAGTGCACCCGTGTCGTGCAATGCCGCAGAGGTCAGAGGGCTTCGGATTCCCCTGGAACTGGAGTTAAGGATGGTTCGTAGCCGCCATGTGTGTGTGCTGGGAATTGAACCCGGGTCCTCTGCAAGAGCAGTTAGTACTCTTAACCGCTGAGCCATCTCTCCAGCCTCATAACAAAACTTCTTAAATCAGTCCTTTGTTTAAATGGACTTCCATGATTATGAAGGGTTTACTATTTCTTATGGCCACAAAACTGATGATAGGCTTAAGACATCCATAGTATGAATTCAGAAAGATAAAACGGGTGGTTTTAATTTGCTTCATTTTGCTTTTGGAATTTTGAATGCTTGATACGGATTTCCCCTCCCTTTTTTGCATTTTTATTTTGTAGCTTGTGGTTTGGGTCGATCCTTTGGATGGCACCAAGGAATACACTGAAGGTTAGTAGCTCTTGTGTCCGTTTGTCAGAGTGCATGGCTGGGTCATGTACAAATGTACTGTGTCTTATGTCAGAGGACAGTCTGTCATGGTCTCTGTTTTTATCTAACACTATTTCAGAGCTCATGATATTTAACTGTGTCATACTTAAGTTATTAGATGGAAAGAGGAAAGCTCATCTTCAGATCCCATGACACATACTGTGTCATCACCATAGTGTTCATGTCCCACATGTGAGTGTCGAGGATGTTAAATGTGTGCCACCAAAGGGACTGTGTGAAAGCCTGCTTTGTTGGAATAGAAAACTACCGAGCACAGCTGTGCCTCCCTTGCTGTGCCACACCACCCTCCTCCCCGCTTCACATGCAGTTATCAGAGGTGGAAAAAACACCAGAAAGCACCAAATTAAAATAAAATCAGCAGAATGCAAGTTAGGAGGAGCTGGGTGTGGAAGCTCACACCTATAATCACAACACCAGGAAAACTGAGGCGGGGGATTACTCTGAGTTTGAGGGCAACCGCAGGTATATAGTGAATTCTAGGTCAGCCTGGGCTAAAGTGAGACTTTAAATAAGACAAAGCAAAGCAAAATGTGAAAAGAACCATACTCTCAGAGCCAGAGTTACCTGGTCTACAGAGTTCCAGATCAGTCTGAGCTACTGCGTTAGACAGTCTTAAAAAAGAAGATCGCCAGGCTTGGTGGCGCACGCCTTTAATCCCGGCACTCGGGAGGCAGAGGCAGGCGATTCCTGTGAGTTCAAGGCCAGCCTGGTCTACATAGTGAGTTCCAGGCCA